TGATCTTCACGACTCCTAGGAAGTGAGACCGGGCGGAGTTGCCCGAACAGCTGAGCGACCTGGAGTGACAACCTCACTGTCTGTCTGTTAACTCAGACAGTCAGAAGAGATAAGACCATTTTTCCCAGAGCATGTTTTAAGAATTCACTGAGATAATGTATGTGAAGTGTCCCACATGGGAATAGACAGTACTTCCCCTTGGGTTGTCATTATGGGTTTGTGCCTGTCTTCTTTCTGGGCCATGAGCCCCACAGAAGGTAGAAATTATACCTCAATGACCTCTGAATACTCAGAGTGTGATAGGATGCCTAATACATGGTAGGTGCTTAGTTAAGCCCTGTCGAATCAATGGGCTCTCTCTCCTAGTGTCGCCAGCAGTGCCTTGCACATGGTTGAGAGGCAAGTTAAGGTGGAGGTTAGGAGAATGGATTTTGGAATCAGGTAGATTTGGGATTCTTATCCTGCCTCTGACTCATAACAGCTTTGATTCTTTGTCACTTCACTTCCCTCTGCAGAATAGGATTAAAAGGCCTCTTCCCAGGGTTCTGTGATGAGTTGTTAAATCACATTAACTTGTGCACGTGAAATGCTTAATGCGTTTCAAGATGGAAGCTGCAATCGTAATTGATCAATTAACTCCCATGTATGTGACTGCCCAGTGCAGTGGGCCTGTGTGGGTGCTCTCTCAGTAGCCTCTGCCCTCCCAGATAACCTTGAATTTGGTTTGGGGGGCCATATAATTCCAGGGACTGACTCTGCTTCTGGTGCTAGGCAGGAGTGGAGCTCAGTCAGTAAATACATTTCAACATCCTGGCTCAGTGATCATTTTAGGGTTGGGCATGTGACCCAGACCTGTCACACCAGAGTGAACCTCAGGACTTTTAGGAACTCTGGGACAAAGATGGTTCTCTGATACTCCACTGAGCACAGATGAGGTGATGTTTGTCTTTGGAACTGCTGGAAGGTGTCTTGGAATTATAAGGGGAGTCAGTCTTGAATAAGGCAAGGCAAGTAAAAGAAAGAAATGAGGTCCTTGCTGGCAGTGTTAAGCTGCTGGATCAAGCCTTTCCTGAAGGACTTTTTTAAAAAAAATGTGAGCCAATAAATTGACTTTATTATTTACGGCTGTTTAAATTGGGTTTTCTGTTCCTAGTAACAAAAATCATTCTTACGGATACAACCCATGCATTTCTCCACCTTGTGTAGCTGTCACTTCCTTTCTGTGGGTGGAGTGACATCGGCTCAGGCCACATTTCCTCCACGAGTACATGGACTCTGTGAGAACCAGCTGACGCTGCTGCCTGTCGGAAACCAGACCACCCAGTAGTCAAAAGATTATGGAAACATAAAGAAAACCAGAGCAGGGAAAAATCCAAGTGAATGCTTCCAGAATAACCAAAGAGAAAAAAAAAGTGGTGGCAACTTTAACAGCAAAATAATAGACCACCACACTCCTGATTGAAGAGTGTGTACCTTGACCTGAAGGGTGTGTCATCTCTGCAGGGAATGTTCGTTGCTTCTGGCTGCCAGCATCCACTCCCCTGGAGGCCAGCACTCTGGTTCCCTTCCCTGGAATACCTCAGGGACCCCACCTTCGCTAGCTACAGGTGGGCAGCAGAAGCTCCTTTATTGGAATCGAATGTTGTTGCATCCCTGAGTCCAGAACCTTACCATAGTATTCCAGTTGTGAATCCAATATCGTATCTCCTGCTGTCTAACCTCTGCAGCATTTTTGGTTTCCTGGCCTGGTGCTCCAGCCCGCTGTGGAACCTGTGAACTTCTAGCAAAGGTCATTTCCGTTGCTTGCAACCAAAGAGTCCTCAGTGATACACCTTCTGAAAGGGCTGTGACAAGGTGGGAGAGGTGTCTGTCATTTTTCGAGAGCTTATCAAAGGCAGGCTGGGGGATTTCCCACCAGGTTCTGGCTCTGCACTCGATGGGTCCGTTCTTGGGAAGGCAGGCTGGGTAATTGTGAAGGGTCCTCAAAGTCACAGAGCATTGCCAGGGATCAGGCATTGTCTGCAGGCTGAATACATACATATGTAATGATGCTGAAGTGATGAATGGAATGTGAATCAGTTTCAAGGAATTCCTAAATTCACATTTAGAAAAATCATTAGGTAGTTTTTATCTAATGAATACTGAATGTAAAAATCTGGTTAAGTGTTCACGTGGGAAAGGGTGCTGCTCTTAAAAATGTAAGATTCACAATAGGGGTTTGGTGAGCACAGGGTGTGCTCCCCACAGCCTCCGGTTGTGTCTCCTAGCTTCCAAGAACCCGCTTTCCCTCCAGGATTGCATTCTGATAGAGCTCTGGAAACCGGCTCCTCCCACTGGCTCCAGGGGTGGCACGTGATTTAGATCTGGCCAATCAGAGCATTGGATTTCCCTGGGACTCCAATTGGTTCAGGGATGGGGAAATGATCCATCCATAGCCAATGAGAAGCAGTTAAGAGTTTTGCTGGGGCTTCTGGGAAGGAACCGCCCACCGTGGCTTAGAGGATTTAAACTGAAGAGGCGCGAAGGTTTGGAGTCTTGGCAGGTGTCTCGAGGTGAGAAGTCGTCGTGAGTGGAGATAGCACAGAGGAGGGGAGTCAAGAGAGACAGAGAGAGCGCCTGAGTCCTAATGAGGTGGGCTTGGGCCTCTGCTCAGGCCCCGAAGAGCCCGCTCACCCCTGGACTCCTCTGGGACGGGAGCCGAAGAATCCTCCTTTTTCTCAAGCCACTGAAGGGTCCCCGCCGGACACATGGGGGAAGTGTTGTAGATATTCCGAGACTCATTTAGAAACCCGTCCCGTTACCGCCCGAGCAACGGGCATCTCAGGAAAGGCACCTTCAGTGTAATTCAACCGAGAGGTATCAAGGGACCTGTTTTCCTCGAGGGGTGTGGCTTCCATCCGTACCCGCCTCACTGAGGGGACCCATTTTAGAGTTGCCAGGTTTAGCAAATAAGAACAGAGGACTTCCTAGTTAAATTTGAAGTTCGGATAAACAGTGAATAGTGTTTCAGTATAAGTGTGTCTCATTCAGTGATCGGGACATGGTTATACCAGGTAATTATTCCCTGTGTATCTGAAGTTCACATTTAATTGAGTGATGGGTATTTTGTCAGGCAACTCCGCCCCAGCCTTCCTCTGAAGTCGCGTTGGACACGTTTGCTCCGGAGGAGCAGAGGAGGCAGGCATGGAGCATGTGAGCTGACGCTGGACGGAGTAGGAGCCTGGGCATGTCCGAGTTGCCTGGGGAGGCGCTAAAGAAGGGGAGAGGGGAGTGGCGTCACCAAGATGTCACCAAATGGGGGCCTTGAGGCCCAGCAGGGGAAGTGCATGACACTCACTGTGCCTGCAGTGGCCACAACCCCCTCGAAGAGGAAGGTCTCTCGTCTCCCCCCCTGCTCAAGGGGCCCATGTCTGCACCTCTTGACCCCCCAGCTATGGTTGATTGGATAAGGATGGATGTCTGACCCAAGGGCAGCCAATCCAGGGCCAGACTCTCACGGTGACTCAATGGGAAGACTTGAAGTGGCCTGAGCTTAGAGATGCAGAGAGGCCTGGGCAGCCGGCAGTGGGAACTGAGGCCAGATGGAGATGTGGAGAGAGGCTGAGAGGCCGTGAGGGGCCTGTGCAAAGAGGGGAGCTGTGCCAACTCAGCGACTGTGAGGTCAAGAAGCTAACCTAGGTCTTGAGATGACCCTACTCTTTTTTTTTAATCCTCGCCTGAGGATATGTTTATTGATTTGAGAGAGAGAGAGAAACATCAATCTGTTGCCTCCTGTATGTGCCCCTAGAACCCCCAACTTTTTGGTGTATGGGACAATGCTCTAACCAACTGACCCACCCAGCCACGGCCAGATATGACCCTACTCTTAAGAAGCGCCTAGTTTCATGGTGAGCAGGCCCTTAAGGAGGGAATACTGTGTCTTGGAGTGAGGATAGGGACAGGCAAACTATGCTTCTGGGACAGAGAGGAGGAAGATGCTAACTCTGCCTGGCAGGGTCGGGAGGGCTTCCTGGCGGTCGGACAGGAGACTGGATTAGAGATGAGGGCTTGACAACTGACTGTCTCACAGGGACTCCGACATGAAGTTGGCCAAGGAGAGGGGAGAGACCAGGGTCACGTGAATGCTTTGGGGAGCCAGGTGGGCACATGAGTGAGCTCAGTTTGTCAGGTGTGAAAGGGATCCTGTGGCCTTCTGGGTCTGGCTTCTAGGTCCCACTTTTAAAATGGCAGGGCTCCATTAATTGTTCTCTAATGAAAATAAACCACAGTGAAGTGATAAAGAGCTAATGTCACTCTGGCCAAGTGGAAACTCCACAGTCTATGTAAAGCAGCTGCCCACTAGAATCACCAGAGGCAGTTTTACGACATAGGATTCCTGGGCCGCACCCCTGGAGAATCTGACTTAATTGGTCTAGAGTGGGACCCAGGCAACAAAATATTTTAGTAGCTACCCAGGTGATTCTCATTTGATCCTAAGGTGTGGCTGAGGCTGAGAACCACCGATCCAAATGGAATGCTGGTTGGTGCCTTGCAGCAATGTCTTCCCAAATCTCTTGATTTCTCAAGGAAAGCCAGAAATCTGGATTTTTTCTGGGAAACCCTATTTTATTTTATTTTATTTTTATTTATTTTTTTAAACATTTTTCTTTTTTTTAAGATTTTATTTATCTATTTTTAGAGAGGGGGAGGGAGGGAGAAAGAAGGTGAGAAACATCAATGTGGCTCAGGAATTTTAGAGAGGGGGTGTGTGGTTGCCTCTCTCACACCCCCTCGTGGGGACCTGGCCTATGACCCAGGCATGTGCCCTGACTGGGAATCGAACCAGCAACCCCTTGATTCACAGGCCAGCACTCAATCCACTGAGCCACACCAGCCAGGGCGGAAACCTCCTTATTTTAAACTGTTGGCTCAACTTTTTAATAAAAAGGCACAATTGGGGAGTACTTAAGGTCCTTATCTTCACTGAGGGTATTTATGAGCTATTTATATGTATTTTGCAGGTGAGGAGACAGAGACTATGTAACTCACCTACAGCCAGGATGCCAGACCAAGACGCATGCCCAAACAATCTGGCTCCAGAGCCTGTGCTTTTCTCCACAGCGCCCATCTGCCGCCTGGACCTGGCTCATGGCCCAGCAGTTTGTGACCTCTGGTAGGTGAGTGAGAGGGGGAGAGGGCCTGGGGGCAGACCCCTGGCCCTGATGAAAAAGAAGGAAGGAGTGGGCAGAGGGTGGGCAGCCTGCATCAGACACTCGTCGAGTGAGTGGAAGAAGGGAGCCCTCTGCCATCTGTCATGGCCCCCAGCACCTCTGAAGCCCCACGTGGCCCTGCCCAGGGAGTGGAGCCCAGCAGGTTCAGGCTTGAGTCTTCATCAAAACAGTGCTGGCTGGGCCAAGATGCTGCAGATAAATGGGCTCACCTGGTACTGGGGCTGCTGCCGGGGGATGCTACAACCTTTGCTTGTTGGCATGACTCAGGGCAGGTCATCACCTGGCTGCAGTGATCACGTCTTATGCTGTGGGCTCCAGGCTGAGCCCTGGGAGGTGTCTCTGTCTGAGGCTGGGGAGACCCACCCAGGGAGTGTTGCTTCTATAGTCACCTTATAAGGGAATGCTGTCTTCCTTCAGGCTTCAAGGATGGGGCTGGGGTCATTCAGGGTAAGGCAAGAGCAAGAATTCAGTCAGCTGGTGGGACTGGGTAGGAAGAGGAGAGCGGGCATTTTCTGTGTGCCTGCTGTGTGTGCGGCACCAGGCTCGGTGCCTTTACATCTGATTTCTTAATTTTCACAATTTTGAGGGGTCAGTGCTGTTATTTTGCAGATGAGGAAGCTGAGGCTCAGAGAGGTGAGGTGACTTGGCCAAGGTTTCATGGCTGGTCAATGGAGCTGCGATTGGAGTCCAGGTTGTTTCCTGGCTGTTTATCTCCTCTAGATATGTCCTCAGGCCCCCCCTCCACACCCACCTAAGTCCCACTCACTGCAGACCCCAAAGCCTGACTGCCCTGCCCCGACAGGCCGGGCTGTGTACAGCTCAGGGGCACACTCACAGGTCACAGGCATCTCGGACAGGCCCGATCAAGAGCTGACAAGTATACAGAGACATGTGTGCGTTCGTACAGGACAGCTGCAGAGAGATTGGGACAGGCAATTGTTAACACATCGATCAAATCAGATGATGAATCTGTGGCCACCAGGCCCAGAATCATTTTAATTGAGTTAGAAATAAGAACAAAGCTATGTGTTTTTATCGAGCTAAAAAAGCAGTGATTATTTTGTTTCCCAGATCACTTTTAGCTTTATGAAAGTACTTCAAAAATCAATCTCGTTGTCTTTTCATCTCTGCTGAGAACTCCCCTTCCTGCCCCTCTGCAGACAGGCGGGCCAGGTGGCGTGTGGGCCTGTGTCTTAGATGCTTGGCTCTCTTTGCTTGTCGGTTCAGTCTTGCTGCAGCCAGATGAAGGCAACACCCAATGGAGTGTCTCAACCTGGGTGCTGGGGAGTTCCGTGGAAGAGCCCCTGGGGCCCAGGCTGGAGCGCTTTTCAGGAGGGTCCCATTTTGTTAAGTGCGCTGGGCATTAGGTGGTGGGAACCTGGGAGGGGGAGATGCCTGCTGAGTGTTTAACAAGGGGCCAGCTTTCTGGCCTGGTGCTCTAGGCTCCTTTCAGCCACGCCCTGCCTGGTCCAACCCTTCAGCCTCTACTCTTGCTCTTCCTCCCTTACCTCCAGACCCTTGCCACTCAGCAGTCTCACTGTGTCACTCCTTCATACCTTTGCATGGACTCTTAGATTATGCAAGGGACACGGTACCAAGCCAGTCTACATGACAGGAAGAAGCAATGTCTGAGGCCCATTGTAGAGGCAGTTTGATTGTCTAGCACCCAGAATCCCCGGGGATCATCCCCTGCCCACTCTTAGTCTACTGTTTTGCATGAGGCTCCTCCCTCTTAGAGATGAAACATGTGACTTGCCTAAGCCAATCTGGTCATTGTTTTCCTTCAGCCACAGGGATTGGTTCAGTCAGAGCCAGTGGGACACTCTAAGATGTTGTTGGGGCTGCTGGACAGACTCAAGTCCTCCTTCTCCTAGACTTGAGTTTGGACTTGGGTTCTCCAGCCTGCTCTCTCTGGAGGCTCTCTGCAGTCTCCTAGTAAATGCCCCTCGAGCATAAGGAAGCCAAATTGGATTCTGTTGCTGGCAATCAAGGAGCTCTAGGGAAGACCTCCCTCAAGTCTACAAGTGTCCACCCCTAGCTCTGGGTACAGAGGAACCCAATGCCTTTTCAGTGGTAGCTAGATGGGGCTGTGAGCCAGGGCCCCGGGGGGAGGTGGGGAAGGCTGCGGTGAAGGTGCCCGGAGGAGGGCAGTGCCCCATCTTGGCCCTGGGTGGGACCACGGGGGTCAGTGCCCAGTGAACTGCCAGTGAGGAGCAGCCTGGGCCTGGCAGCCAGGACTTTGCCCGGAGGGGCCTCCAGCCCCAAACCTAATCCTTTTTGTTCAGACCTGGGAGTGGGGATGGAGAGGTGCAGGGGAGGGGAGGTGGGGCTGTTCTTTTCGGGCGGCACCCTGATCAGAGCCACATTCCAGGTACCAAAGTGCAGCCCTGAGTGCGAGTGTGTTGGCGGGGGTGCGTGGCGGGGAGGCTGCTGGTAGGAGGCAGAGAGAGGCAGGCACAGGCCTTGGTGCCCACGCCTGTGCTTCCCCGGCAGAAGGGGGTGAGGGGACCTTGGGGGGAGGGGAGTAGAAAAAACATTGGCTTGGAGACAGATGGATCTAGTTTTGAATCTCCCTCTGTCACTAATCAGCTGTGAGGGCTTGGGCAGGTCACCCCACCTCCCTGAGCCTTGGTTTTCCTGCCTGTGAAACGGGAACAATCCTACATGCTTCCTGGGATTTTTGTGAACATTGAACAAGGGTGAATCGTGTAAAACGCTCAGACTGGTGCCTGGTGTAAGCAAGGAGCCCACCAATGTTCGCTTTTATTGTTGCAGAGAGCACAGACCCTGCTTCAGACTGAGCTGGGGAAACTCCCCGAAGAGTTGCCTTGGTTGTGATTCCACTTCTGAGCTGACGGACCTCGGGCCACTGACTGTGGGCTTCCTCCTGGGGTGTCGGTTTGCTCCTCTGTGAAATGGGGGTGCTAACAGTTTCTGTTTCAAGAGTAGACCTGAGGAGTAAAGGACCCAGTTCACAGAAAGGGTTTAGCACCGTGTGTGGCCCGTAGCGGGTGCTCGGTTGCTGTCGGGTCCCTCCCCCCACCTCCTCCTCTGCACTGGACGTGGCACGGCGGCGGGAGGTGTGGGGAGGAGAGAAGCCCAGACCTGGAGGCAGAGAACCAGGTTCTGCCTCAGGGCTGGCACTACATTGCTGGGCGTTCTTTGGGTGGGGTCTTGACCTCTGGGTCTCAGTCGCCCTCACAACTGTTAAATGATGAACTTGGACTTGATTATCCTGCTTCTGACTCTAAAATTCCGCTCTGTGAAAACAAAAATGTTGTGAGTTAGGTGGAAGCCTGAAGGGAGCTCCTCCTTGCTCGGGATGGGGCCGCCCTTTTCCTTCAGAAAACCCTTTGTTTGGCAGGCCCTTTTTGGCTACAAAATAGCAGGGTCTCCCAACCCCCACTCCGTCGGGCCTGGCCCTGAAGGAGAAGGTCATCATCACCAAGTGAAGGGCATGGCTCTGTGTAATAAGGAACGGGAACTGGGGAGTTAGCTCTCTGCCCCCAGAGAGAGACTTTGGGAGGCTCAGGGCTCCAAGCAGGGTGGGGACGAGCAGCGGCTTCCTCAGTAGAGAGGGACTTGGGAACACGGGGGCGGCCAGAGCCAGGAGCCGCTGGCACAGAGGGCCCCAGAATGGTCTGAACATAAGTGAAATGCTCACTTTGATGTTTCTGCTGGTTAGGCCCAGAAATAGCTCTCCATTCCCCAGATCTTCAGGAGGGTCTGTTGCACACACAGCCTGGTGTCTTGGGGCTTTGGGGATGAGGCGGCCAGGGCAGAGAGGGGCTGGCAGACAGCAGGATGGGATGGAGATGTGGCTCGGGCCAGGAGCAGAACTGGGGGTGAAGAGACATGGGCTGGAAGCTTCTGCAGGAGGGTCAGAGATACCAAGAAGGGCACTGGGCTTCCCGCAGCATGGGGCACGGGGTTTCCAATGATTTTATTTTGAAGTGAGGGCCACAGTGAACCTAGAGGGCATGGAGACTTTGGGGTTCTGGTTTTATGTTCGTTCAGTGTGGCCTCACAGAGGGAAAAGGGCATCCCCCGTCAGATGGGGGTGGGGTGGCGGGATGGCAAGACCCAGGCTTGGAGCTGAGAAGCGTGAGATTGGAGTGGAGGACTTGTGGATGGTGTCGCCGCAGAGGGCAGTGGGTCTGAGTCACAAAGGGCCTGGCATGGTGGGTAAGAACTTGATTTTTTTCTACAAGCAATGGGGCGCCGTGGAAGACTCAGAGCAGGAGGAGGAGGAGCAGCAGCAGCACGTAGGGAATGCACTGGAGTGGGATGGAGACAGGAAGTAGGTGGGAATGAGCGTTTGGTGTTGGGGACAGTTCACTCTGGAGGGTTGGTTGTGGCTAGATCAATGCACGCTAGTGACCAAGGACAGGCGAGAGGCCACCTCCTGTGGAAGTGGGCACCTGTGTGATGGTCCTGGAGGCAGCCCGGTTTCACCTGCCTCCATCCCCAGCTTTCTCCTGGTCCCCACCTTTCCTGTGACTCAGACCCTCTGAGGTCTTAACACAGAGTTGGGGGAACTTTTAAAGCCTGTCATTTTGGAGGTGACTCAGTTAAAGGGGTAGGGCCTGGGAGGGGGGCTCTCTCGCCCCTAGAACTTTAGTGTAGTCCTCATACCTACAGGGGTCACAGTTACGGTCCAGCCGCCACACTAGCTAAAACAGATGCCAAGAGGGGAAGGGACCAGTGCAGGCTTGAGTGGCTGGGGCAAAGGCCTGGGCTCAGTTCATGTTCAGTCACTCTGTGTGACTCTGGGGGAGCCTCTTCTCCCTGGGCCTCTGTCTTCTCATCGGTGAAATGGGCTGACCAAGTCTGCACTGAAAACCCAGCTTCCTCTCACTCCCTGGCCCTTCTGCCACTCACCACAGACACATCTTTGCCTGGGCCTGTGGTCACGGGTACCGGTCCTGGATGTCTTTCAGCTCACGGGTGCTCTGCCACCTCCTCTTTTTGACACTGGCTCCCAACCCTCCTGGGACCCTGCTTCTCTTGGGGATGCTCTTTCCTAACCCCGCCATGCTTCACCATTCTGGGGTCCTCCTTGTTGCTGTCCCCCGACCTCCTTGTCACCCTCCGTGTTCCTGAGGATTTGGCTTGCAGCCTTTCCTCCACCCTCTCCCACTGCCAGCCAGGGTGACGTTTGTGACCTGTGGATGACATGTCTAGTACCCTGGTCACTCTGTTCCTAGAACTTCTCATCTCTAGTGAGAGTACTCCTTTTAAATGCCCGCTGCCCGATGCTTGCCTTGTCATTTCCCGGGACAGCTCCTCTGAAACCCTAATTCTTTCTGAGCCCTCCTCCCTGACGGTGGTCACTCCCTGCCTCCCGGACCCTCCATACCTTCTCGGAGACCCCTGGCACGGTTCTCCTGAGCACTCCCTCTCCCTCCTCCAGGGCTCTGCCTCCCCCCAGAGCCCCTCCTTTCGGTCACCCCACCTCCCCCTTTCCTCTGCTTGCTCACTTGGGCATCGCTGAAGAAAACCCCAGAGGGTCACGGTCACTGCAGATCTACGGTTTTCAGTCTCAGCCAGGCCCTCAGCACCTCCCTTCAAGGCTTCTTCTTGTTGTGGGTGGTCCTCTCTCCTGGCCATCATCCCCTGGCCTGGCCTTCATCGCCCTCCTTGGGGCCCCTAGCTGCTGCCCACCCCCTCACACAGGTGAGGTGACCTTGCCTATTACCTCGACAAGACCCTCAGGTGTTGGTGGGAACACCCTCGGCTTCCCACGCCCACCTCTCCACCCTCACCACCCCATCTTCACCTTCTGTCTTCTGGTCCCCAGGCTGCAGCCTCCTGCCAGGGGCACAGCTACGCCCTCCCTTCTCTCCTGGACCCTGCTCCCCCACCTTTCCCGGGACCCGCACCTTCAGTATCCCCACTCTCTCAAGCCCTTCTCTGGCTCAGCCCTCACAGCCCATATGCCTGCCTCCGCATCTCAAAATAAGGACCCAAGCCTCCCTGGGACTGGTGTCTTCTCCCTAGGTACCAAGCTTGTCCTTTGCCTGGGGACCTCCCAAGTGTGTCTTCGTTTCCCCCTTCACTGCCATTTCCCCTCCTGCGTCATCCTGCAGAAGGATACCTGCAGAAGGATACCGGTGACATCATTGCCAAGTTCCATGGTTAACCCTTTGTACCTTAGCTAATGCCTTCTGTGATTTTTTTTCCTTCTGGAAAGTTTTCCCTTCTGTGATGGAGCCTTCCGGTGGCCTCCCCTACAAACATTCTTTCCTGGTTGGTTATTAACAGAACGAAGATCTTCAGGAAAGCAACGTGCTGTGCTAAGGGGCCACATTTCCCAATTCCCCGTGCACCCGGGGGTGGCCAATGAGGAGCAAGCGAAAGCTGCAGGGGAAGCTCAGGAACAAGCGTGCAGGAAAGCTCTGTGTTAGAGCGTGGACTGCCTCAGCTGGGAGGTGCGTCTGCTTTTGCTTCTTCCTTCTCCTTGCCGTCGGGACCTGAATGTGCTGGCTAGAGCTGCGGCTGCAGTCTTAGGGCCATGAAGTGACCTGGGACGTGGAAATGAGGGCTAAGACTAGCCGAGCAAGAGCTGGAAAAGCCCGAGTCTCTGATGATGGTGGGCGGGCTACCTGCCTCCATACTTCGTTCATGTAGGAGAACACAGACACTGCATTTTGATTAAGACACTGATTTGGGTTTTCTGTTGCTTTCAGCAAAATCCAATCCTAGACCACAAGACTTCAGAATGGTTTTCTGGCTTTCCTTCTGTCTCTCCGGCTGCTCTTCCTCTGTCTTCCTTTGTGGGTGCTCACTGTCCTGCTCCTAAGGCCTCCTGTTTTTTTCCCCTGTATCCCATACTTCCTAAGTAATTTTGTTCTTGCTCGTGACTTAACTTCATATTCTGGTGACTTCCAATCTGCAGCACGACTCCCGCAGACCCAGAGACTCCAATATGCAACCAGGATGTCCCACAGAACCCTCCAGCTCGGTGGCCTGCAAGGGTCTCCTCACGTGATTTCGCCCCCGCAGCTCAGCTGGTGCATCTTCTTCTGCCTGCTTGGCCAAGTTGCAAGCCCAGAACTCATCCTCGTTTTCGTCTTCCCCCCCTTCCCCCCTCAACTCCTCCTAGGCAATCACTCATCAGGATCTAGCAGTTTACTGTTTCACACCCATTAGGGTGATGGCTGTTATCAAGACCCAGAAATGACAAGTGTTGGTGAGGCTGTGGAGAAATTGGAAGCCTTGTGCATTGCTGAGTGGGAATGTGACGTGGTGCAGCCACTGTGGAAGACAGAATGGTGATTCCTCAAAAAGTTAGGCACAGAATTGCCATATGATCCAGCAATTCCACTTCTAAGTAAATGCTCCAAAGAATTGAGAGAAGAGTCTCAATGAGATAGTTGTACAGTTACGTTCATAGCAGCATTATTCACAATAGCCAAAAGGTGGAAGCTGCCCACACGTCTACTGGCAGATGAATGGAGAAGCAAAATGTGGTGTGTCCACACAACTCAGCCTTCAGAAGGAAATTTGAAACATGCTGCAACATGGATGAACCTTGAAGGCATCATGCTAAGTGAAATAAGCCAGTCACAAAAGGACAAGTGGAACTGGAGGATTCTACTTCAATGAGGTACTAAGTAAGTCCTCACTTAATGTCATCAATAGGGTCTTAGAAACTGCAACATTAAACAAAATGAGCATAATGAGACCAATTTTACCACGGCTAATGGACATAAACGAGAGTTAAATTCATACAGCATATTTCTGGTCACAGAAACATCAGCAAACTTCTAATATTAGATATTAAAACAAATGTGAGAATGCACTTAAGGAAGGGAGATTAATAAAAACAAGATCCTTATTTTCTAACACACTTATTCCAGCTCAGGGTTTCGGGTGGCCGGAGCCTCTCCCTGCAGCCCAGGACACCAGGTGGGAGCCCGCCCTGGACGGGGCACACCGTGCACCCCTACTCCCACTCAGACGGGGGCAATGCAGGCAGGCTAGTCCACCTCACACACACGTCTTCGGGATGCAGTGGGAAGCCGGAGGCCCCAGAGAAAACCCACGCAGGCATGGGGAGAATAAACCACGCAGACAGTGGCCCAGCCAGGTGTTGGGTTTTTTTCCCTCATCAACATGACAATAAAATAACTTTGAATGAAGCTATGTTATTCAAGGACCTGCTGTAGCGAAAGTAGTCAAAATCAGAGAGACAGAAGGTACAATGGTGGCTGCCGGGGGCTGGGGAGGGGGACGGGGAGTCAGCGGCTAGTGGGGACAGTTTTAGCTGTGGGAGACGAGAGAGTCCTGGAGGCGGGTGGTGGGGATAGCTGCACGACAGTGTAAATACACTTAAAGCCTGTGAACTTCAGATGGTTGGAATTTTCTGCTATACATATTTTACCACAGTTAAAAGAAGATCTATCAGTTTTACTTCCCAAGTGGTCTCAAATGCAGCCCTTGTCTCCTTCACAGCTTTTGATTCTCTGTGGGGCCCTGGCAGAACCTTTGCTCTGGTGTCTCTGCCTGCAATGATCCTCTCAGCGTCCACAGCCTAACCGCCCACCCCCCACCCTTAATCAGAGTGTTTTTTTATAAACCTCAAATTTGTTCATGTCGGGTCCCCCCACAGAGCCCTTCAGGGTTCCTGACTGCCTGTCTGCCTGTCTGCGTGACTGCGCCTGGACTTCAGGGCTCTCCCTGCTCCGCCCCATCTGTGTTTCTGGCCGGCACCTCCCTCTTGGGCCAGTGATCCCTCAAGTGCCTTCGACTCTTTCATTCCCCTGCGCCTGTGCAGGCACCTTCCCCGCTGCCTACGTGCTCACAGTGATGCCTCCACCTTCCTCTCTTTGCACAGCCCATTCATCCTGCGGGACGCTACTCTAGTCTCCTCCTCTGTGACGGCGTGGATATCTGTCTGGCCTCCGTATCACTCCTTGTCATCTACCTCTATTGTGTGCATCATGCTGCTCTGTGCTTATTTGCATGCATTTCTGCTCTCAGGCAGTTGGTCAGCTTCCCTCCTCTTCCTCCAGGAAGTCCTCCCCGACTTCTCCAGCCCACAGTGACATCTGCCTTCTCTGAGTTCACGGTCTCTGGCAACTTGTTGGGCACACCGTTTCAGCATTTGATTGGACCCTGTCTTGTCTTCAGTTCTCTCATGAGGATTAGTTTTCCCTCTTTGGTGAGCTGGTAAGAAAGCTCTCTGGTTGCAGGGACCATGGCCTCCGTTCTCTTTCTCCCCAGCCTCCAAGTATGGGGCTAGCTGCCTGGAAGAAAGGCAGGAGTGGACTTTTAGTGGGCCACTTTGTGCCAGGCCTTCTCGTACCTGTCACGTACTCTTGCCCTCCTAATGACTCCGAGAAGACACATTATGCTTCTTGTTCTTTAGATGAAGAGACCGCAGCTCAGAAGGTCAGAGGGCTGGCACCACAGCATGGCTTTGGGGGAGTGAGGGTTTGAACCCAGGCCAGGCAGACTAAGCTTGTGCTCTGCTTCTGGTCAAAGGCTGGGCTCCAGAAAGACTTGGTGGGTCGGACTGGGCTGAATGGGCACACGCCCAGAGCATGTCTCCCTTACATGGGGCAGGCTTGACGTTTCCACAAACTCAGGAGCATACAAGTCGGAGGCGGCATCGAGGGGAAACAGCTGGTGGTGGTCCTGGCTCTGGGCCTGGGGAAGGATCCAGGGCTGTGGAGGCGGGTGGAGAGTTGGGTGGCACTGGGGCGGCGGGCAAGTCTCCCTGGTTGTCCCAGGCAACCCCAGGCTGTGCCGGCTGCTCCGAGGGCACGGCCTTTTCTGCAACAGCAGCGCTTGTATTTTGAGGTCTTTCTATCTATTTTAAGATCTCAGGCAATTCCTGTCACCTTTCTGACTCTCATTTTCCTCATCTGAAAAATGGGAATTTACATAGTTGTCTGTCTCAGGTTTTGGGGGGTGGGCAGATCCTTTGCAGGGATGGCTGTGGCAGTGCCTCGGTGGTAAGAAAATCCCCTGCCCTTTTGAGAGGCTTTGCCTCCTCTCAGGGAGCCTGTGGCGTGCAGGTGGGGAAGGATCCTGGCCCCAGTTCACAGATAAGAAAGACGGAGCCTCTGGCCCTGAACTGATTTGCTCTCGTGTCACAGCTAGTGAGCAGGGAGCTGGGGCTTCTGAGGTTTTAAACTAAGCCTTTGTATTTGACTTCACCAACAGAGAGAAGCCAGCAGGTAAGAGGCTAAATCATTGGGATTTAGGGCTAAGTGATGGAGAGTTTAATGGTGAGGGATTGAGCATCAGGGAAAAAAAGTCAAATACTAATTTAGAGGATCAGAGAGGGAAAGTTAATTGCCCCAAGTCACAGAGCAGAGCAGAATGGTGGCAGAGCTAAGCCCAGAAGTTAGCTACAATGACCGAGCAATGACCGAAAAAAAAAATAATAATAAAGAAACCTCAACTAACCCTAATTATTGTATCCACTCGGTATTGGGCTCTCTGTATGTACTAAGCAGTTAGTCCTCCCAGCAGCCTGAAGGTGAAGGGCCTCTGCAGTTATTTTCAGATGTAGCTACGGAAACTCCATGAGGTGACCACACGTGTCCAGAGCTTGCGCTTGGTTAGTCGGAATACAACATTTGAGCCCAGATTTGACACCCTAACTGGTGTTCTTAGCCACTCTGTTCTGCCTGCCTACTTGCCCGTGTGGGCTCGAGTCTGGAACCTTGCATGTTGACCAGAGGCTCTGACGCCCAGAGAGCCAGGTCGGGGCAGATGGCCGGGCTGGTTGCTGGGTGCCGGGTGCCAGCTGTCAGGGCCTCAGCCCATGGGCCGCCAGGTGTGCAAAGACTTCACCAAAGGGGTGTGGGGTGTGAGGGGTGGTGTGCTGGCTGTGGGTCAGGAGGTACATGCTCACCTCCCAGACCTCAGTTCGCATCATGAACTACAGATGTTAACTGATTCCCAAGGTGCTTCCCAAACCCACATTTCTGGCCTCCCCCCTTCAAGGGGCTTCTGAGTTGAGGTTTTGTGGGGGTGCCAGCAGGCCCCTCCCCTTCTCCCAAGGTGTGAGCCACCCAGGGAACATGGGGCTGGCTGTCATGGCAACCCTGTGTTGCGAAATGACGTAATTAGAGTTCCAAACGTGTGAAATCAAATACAACATCCGCAAACACAGCCTGGGGGTCGGCATGGCAACCGCAGGGCACCAGGACGGGCAGGCGCTCCCCGCCCACATCAGCCAGCTTGGCTTGGCTACTTGGGCAGGCACAGAAGGCAACTGCTCCCTCTCCTGGGGCATCTGCAAGACCCTCTGCTGCTGCCTGCTTCTCTCCTCTGCCTTCTTGGTCTTGCCCCTCTGGGGGGGTCGTGTACCCCTCTGATTAGGATGCTGACTCTTGAACCAGACAGATCTGGGGTGGCATCCTGACACAGAGCAGCTGTGAAGACTTGGGCAATTAGCTTCACTTCTTGAAGCTTTCTTGCCTTAGATGTGAGCTGTTTTCTTTTTTAAATTTTATTTTAATTGTTGTTCAAGTACAATTTTCTATCTTTTACTCCCATCCAAGCCCACCTACCCACCCCTGCCCACCTCCCTCCCATTTCTACCCGCCCCTAGTTTTTGTCCATGTGTCCTTTATACTTGTTCCTGAGATGTGAGCTGTTACTCTGTGCTTTCTCTTCTTTCTTCCGCTCTGTTGTTCTTTCCCTGCCTCCCACTCTTAGGGCTCCTGCAGGCCCCAAGAGGGACCGTGGAGCCTGGGCGCCCAGGTAATCAGTCAGCCCCTGCATGGCTTTGCCATGTGATCTTATTCTTAGGTCTTCCCTTATTTGGACTTGGGTCCTCTCTATAAAATAAGGGCATAGTCCTTCTGTCCCTTTCAAAGTGTGGCCTGACGCCATCTGCATCAGCATGACCGGCATGTCTGGTTAAAAGAGCAGATTCCTGGATTCTTCCTCTTGCTATTTTGATTCCTTAGGTTTGGTGTGGAACCCAGGAATCTGAGTTTTAACCGGATCTACAGGTGAACCTGAGGGATATGCCAATGTGAGAACCCTTGAACTAGATGGTTCCAATGCCCAGCTGTGATTGGCCTCCAAGATCTGAATGTCTGGCTCTGATTGGCTACCTTCTGGGGTCCTGCTTTTTATTCAGCGGCACTGTTGTCATCAGGCCAAGGCAGCCTTCCTCTGGTTCTGTCTCTGTCTCTCACACTTATTTAATCAACAGGTGTTTCTGGTGCTAGGCCCTGGACCAGGTACTTAACTGTCCCTCAGCAGCGAAGACCAGTGTTTGTGTGTCTGGGGACAGGACTGGGGGGGCAGAGCTCACCAAGCCACTGTTTTTCTGTGACTCAGTTTCTTTGTGTGTAAATGGGGATAACGATTTGATCATGAGAGTGTCCTGCTACTCCTGCGCTGGGTGGGGCTTGGGGAGAGGGCGTCAAAGGCACGTTCTCTGGGGGCCCGTGGCATGCTGGGCACCATGCTAAATGCTTTGCATAGTGCACTCATAAAATGCTTCCAGTAACCGTTATTATTATTATATTATTATTATTATTATTATTTTAGAGAGAGAGGAGAAGGGAGGAAGAAAGAGAGGAAGAGAAACATTGATGTGAGAAAGAAACACCGATGTGCCTTCTGTATGCACCCCAACTGGGGACCGAACCTGAAACTTAGGCATGTGCCCTAAGTTTGCCGAGATCAAATTGGTGACCTTTTGGTTTGTGGAACGGCATCCTGCCAACTTAGCCACACCAGTCAGTGTGTCTCCAGTAAATTTCAAAGTGGGGCTATTTCCCTCCATTTTACAGTTGGGGAAACTGAGGCTCAGAGAGGTGATGACTCACCTGGGGTCACTCAGCAAGTAACCAGTTTGGAACTGAAACCCCTTCCAGCTCCCGTTCTCCTTCTCCCTCTCCCCACCTGCCCTCACTCCTCTGGCACCACCCCCTTCTCTCTCTCCCCATCTACTTTCCATCAAAAGGTCTAGAGAGAGTTTTCTGTGCTTGCTGTCTTCATGTCCTCACTGTTCAGCCCCCTGCCTTCTGCTGTCCCCACACCCCAGACCTGCCAAGCTCACCAAGGACCTTCCTGGGGCAAAATCCAATGACCTCGACCTCTGGGCAGTGCTGATGCTGGACATTGCTCTCTCCTTCTG